GGCAGGAGAGACCGTGAGACTCCTATCTCCAATAAACCACCAGAAAACCGGAAGTGGCACTGTAACTCAAGTGGTAGAGCCCTTGCCTTGAGCTGAAGAGCTGAGGGACAGCGCCCAGGCCCATAGTTCAAGCCCCATGACCGACAAAAAAAAAAAAAAAAGAATCTCTCAACTTTTCCTACCAAGGCTGGATTTGAATCCTAATCCTCAGATCTCAGCATCCTGAGTAGCTAGTATTACAGATATGAGCCACTAGTGCTTGGGTGAACTCAATTGTTAAGATTTCATTTGTCAGCAACCATAAAGCCTTTACCACGTGCATAACACTGCATAGGATGTTAAAGGAAGTTAGAGAAATGTAAAAATCATGGAAAATTGCATAAACTTGCATAATCTGTTAATGACACTGTTCTTTACCTCTATCTTTCTTGAACATATAATCAAAATGTTTGCTACATATTAAACTCCTTGAGACATCCTAAGGGGCTTTAAAAGAATATGCCAGGCACTGGTGACTTGCACCTGTAATCCTAGGTAATTAGGAGGCTGGGATCTGAGGAATGTGGTTTGAAGCCAGTCTGAGCAGGAAAGTCTATGTGACTTTTTTTGTTGGTTGTGGGGCTTGAACTCAGGGCCTGGGCAGTCTTTAAGCTCTTTTTGCTCAAGGTTAGTGCTCTACCACTTTGAGCTATTGCTCTACTTCATTTTCTGCTGGTTAATTGGAGATAAGTCATAGCCTTTCTCACTCAGTCTTCAAAAACTATTATCCTGAATTACTAGGATTACAGGGTGAGCCACCAGCACCCAACTTATTCATGAGACTCTTATTTCCACTTAACTACCCAAAAGCTGGAAGTGGAGCTGTGGCTCAAGTGGTAGAGCAGTAGCTTTTTTTTTTTTTTTTGGGTCCGGTTGTGGGGCCTGAACTCTAGGCCTGGGTGCTGTCCCTCAGCTCTTCAGCTCAAGGCTAGCACTCTACCACTTGAGCCACAGCGCCACTTCCGGCTTTTTTCTTTTTGCTTATGTGGTGCTGGGGAATTGAACCCAGGGCCTCATGCATTGCAATGCAAGCGCTCTACCACTGAGCCACCTTCCCAGCCCTTGTTTTCATTTTTCAACAGCACTTCTGAGAATACTGATCTTTACTATTTTATGAAAACAAGCAGATATGAGTACTCAACTCAAGTTTAAGATGTGGGGAGAATCTAGGTTTATGGACAGAATACATCAGTATCAAGACAGTAGGAAATAAATATAGACACTACACAAATCCTTCTTGAAAGGCTGACAATGAGAAAGGAAACTAACCTATCACTGAAAACCTATGACAGCTTCTCATGCTATTTCAGCTTCTCATGCTAAACTTTCACTGTGATTTCCTGATGTGGATGAGAAGGGCTTTTATTGCCTCAGTAACAACGGAGCTTATTTCCTTATACCATGTAGAGGCAGGCTCTCCAACACTAGTGGAACTAAAGGGTTGAGGATAATATTCAAGCCTCGTTACACAGACTTCACCTGGAGGTTAAAGAACTCTTGCAATCCAAATGACTTTAATCCAAAAATCCCAAAACTTAAAGCTGGAGATTTTGAATCAAGTTAGTGAACACTTACATGCTATATATTCTACTACATACCTTATTGATCCAAAAAAGAAAAATGTAAGAAAATCCTGTGGCAAAGACGGAGTGGAAATAATGTCATTTCAAGTCATCTAATGGAGACCAAGAAAAAATTGACTAGTCTTTCCCACAACCATCTTTCCCTTCTCCTTGGGGCAGCCAATATGGTTTATAAGCAGCATCTATTCCTTAGCCACTTCTACCAAGATGTTACTTGTACACACAACTCCAACCTTTCCCAACTTGAGTGGATAGGGCATCAATCACGACAGACTCTGCTAAGTTTCCACAAATCATTGGTTTATTAGAAAGTTCCTTTCCCTCATTTTACAGCATATATATCTCTATCATACGTGATAAAGTTAAATACAATCTGTTATGCTTGTAAGTAAGGATAGGTTATCTTGTTTTTTGTTTTGTTTTTTTTTTTCCTAAGTTTTAAAATTACTGTTTTGGAAGTTGAAGAAAACTGCCCCCCGGGAAGGCAGAGAGGCAGCGAGAGTATGGCTCAATCTACAAGCTAATGGGAAGCAGCACAAAAATGTTAATACTGTGTTCTTTTAATATTTACATGGGCTGAAAGCAAAAAAAAAGGAATCCCTTCACTTTATACAGATGATTTCATTTTTCCAGTGCTAGTCATTACTTCTAGTCAGACGAGCACTGAACAGGTTAAGAGGGGGACTTAGCCAAGAGTTTTTCCAGAACTTGCTTCTCATGAACTCAACCCTTTTTTCTTTTGGAAATTTGAGAAGGCATGAAAACAAAACCTTGGCTCAGCTTAGTAATGGAGTTTCCTGTCAGTTGACAACCAATTTTAGCCATAAGAACAGGTAGGCATGTGCCAAAGACGAAACCACTAACTACAAGAAAGAGATGGGTCCTGCAATACAGCACCTTTGGGTCAGTATGTTAACTAGGGCAGAGAGCCTGGGTGAAAGATGAACAGGAGGAAGAGGGGCTGGGGGTGGTAATTTCTCTGGTCAGTGTCATGCAAGGAAAAAGGAACCTCTACTGCTGAAACTGAACTGGATAGATAGCATGGACCAATGAAACAAGAGAATTTGAAGTATCTATAAATATGCTCACCTCCCAACAGGAGGAGGAAAAAACTGTACCAACTCTATTTTCCTCTGGTCTACTTCTACTTCAGTTTCTAGCTGACCCAAAAGGCACATTAAAAAAAATTGTCAGAGGGGACTGAATACTAGGAAGGCAAATCAATGCCTGGAACAAAGTACCCAGGGAACCTGGGGATCTCCCCTGCAGACAATCACTGAATCTTACTGCTTCCAGAGAATAAAGATGTTGAATCTCTCCCTCCTTTGTGGAATTTACTTGTTTCTCTATATAAAACAACAAAGCATGCAAGGGAGATGGTCACAACTGAGCATTCCTCTGACACCTGCAGCAGACTGCTGCCCATTTTCTCAAAAATCCCAGTGCTGGGGCACTAATTACTGCAAATTACTTAACATTTTGTCCCAGAGGAAAAAAAAAAGTTTTTAAAAACCATTTTTATAGTTCATAACTTCAAAAAATACATGAGCTTGATAAAATATACATGCGAAGTCATTTTTGCATCTAGCAGAAAACAAATACTTTTATTTTTTTTGTTTTCATTTTATAACCTTTAAAGTTTCTTAATTCAACTAGGGCAAACATATTTACACAAAGCCACCAGAACAAGGATCACTTAAAGAGCTGGATGTAAAAAATATTATTGCAGTATACTACAAATATGGAACCTTTTTATTATGAGCTACAAAAAGCAGCATTTATGTTTATAGAGTTCAGTGCAATTTTTACATTAAAAAATCCTATAAATTAAGAAGGAAACATAACACAACAGAAGAAAATATACCCTTCAGACACATGAGCTCCTCTCTGGGGAAGCACATGGGAGACTATGTTCCACATAGCTTCTATTCATGATAGGATCTTCTTTTCTGGGATATATGCAGGTGTCTCTTCTGGGATGAGGGATCTTGAGGACAACAGTACCAAATGTGTGACTCTGTTTCTATGGGAAATGGACAAATTGCAGCCTGAGTTGCTCTGGTTCCAGGTCAAGACTCCCTTTCTACCTCACCTAGGATAGCATGTCACCAAGGGATGGTCAAGGACACTGCCCAAAAGCGGTGGAGTTTCGCCACTGGAAAGAGAGCTTGGGCTTCCATGTGGCACTGAGAAGGCAGGACCAGACGGGGTCCATGGCAAATGCTTTGGTGACAATTAGGCCAGAGAGGAGGAAAATGTTTAAATTTATAGATGGGAAGAGCAGAGGTCAAAAAGTAGAAGAAGAGAGGAACTATCTAAATTTGACCGTTTGGAGATGTTGCTGCAGAGGGGTGGATAGCACTTACTGGTGTTCTCCTAGCTTAGGAACACAGGACAGGAAAGACAAATAGAGGGGGGGAAAATCCCTGATAGTAAACCCAAAGCAAACCTCAAAAAACCATTTCTGTAAGCCAAAACACAATTCTTTGGCTGTCAGACACTGCCCATCCCAGCTTTTACTTGCTGGTATTAAAGGCTCAACACCCCAAGGAAAGACTTATGGATTATCTTCCCTGACCCTATCTAGGTTCCATCCCCCAACTCATGTGCCATGGCTGGGGGGGTGCTGCAGGTCCTGACCTGAGAAGATGGGGTGAAGTAATGGGTGAAGGTGAAGGGCAGTGGCAGCTGCTGCAGCAGGCCGTGGAGCAAGAAGGGTAGGGTAAAGGGCAGCATGTGGGACAGGGTGGAAAGTGAAAGGCCCAGGATGGATGGCTGAAGCAGGAATGATGTGGATGGGATGGCTGGCAAGGAAGGTGGCAGGGTGGCCAGGTATGATAGAATGAGTGAGGTGGGACAAAGAAATGGGAGTTAGATGGGGCTGGGGAATATGATGCACTTGTGCAAGAGGCTGGGGATGAGGATGGGGGTGAATGCCAATGGCAGCAGCAGCAGCTGCAGCATGATGTTGTAGGATAGCATGCTGAACAGTTGTGATGGAGGTGGCAGAGGCTGTGGCTGGCTGCTGAATGTGGATGGGCTGCAGGGCTGGTGTGGCTGGGGCTAGGGCTGCTGAAGCTGGAAAGGCCTTTACTTGCTTGGCCAGAAGCTGCTGCTGGATGTGTTGCTGCGCGGCCTGCTGGAGCTTGCTATACTTCTCCATCTCCTCAGGGGTGAAGGTAATGGGTTGACTCTCCAGGGGAGCCAGTGAAGCATCCTCAGCCCCATCTGTTGATTCAATACTAGGTTCCCCACTAGGAGGCGCATAACCAGGGAAGTGCTCGAGATCTGGTGCTATAGGAAGCAAGCTGGACTCCACAGGGCCTGGGTGACTGCTGCTATCCAGGGATTCTAGGGTGTCCCCATCACTGGGGTCAGGGAGGTAGTTATGGGAGATGGTTGGATCCCCAGGGTAGCAGTCAGTATGTGCCGGGGTACCTAGTGGAGCCACAGAGTGATCAGCAGTAGCTTCTTCAGACTTTGGATCTTCTGGGGGTGGATCTGATAAGGGGCCAGCTGTTTCCTCTGAAGGGAACTGGTGCCCAAATGGGGCATCACTACTCCCTGGGGGCCCTTCTTCTGTCTCTGACTGTTCTTGCTCTTCCCCCCTTTCCAGGCCAGACTCTTCACATTTTTTGTTGTTGGGCTTTCGGGTAGCTGGGAGCTTCCCTATCAGTGGAAGCACAGGCTTATTGCCAAGAGAGGGAGGCAGCTTGGGCCCAAAATAACCTTGGGGAGGGTCCTTGAGCTTAAGCCCAGCTTTATTAGGGGTGACCAGCACCTCTTCACTCATACTGGGTTTCCTCTCCACTTTTCTGGCCTGGATTTTCTCTAGTAGCAGTCTAGCAGTAACAGAGTTCTTGTCTTCAGGGCTACAGTCACTTTCTGACCCCCTCCCTGTGCCAGTGCTGCTGTTCTGGGAGGGTGGGCCTATCTCCTTACAGTCATCTCTGCCATCATTTTTCTTCCCAGGACCTTCTCCTCGGCCTGCTCGAAAATAGTGTGGGGACTGAGAGCGATAGATCTTTGAACGAATAAAATCTCGACGGCCAGAACGCCTCTCCTCAGGGCTCTCATGACCCCATGATCCCTTCCTAGAGCCTGATCTCTGGGAAGGACTCCTGGTGCTGCGGCTGCGATCACGGCTATAGCTCCTGCTTCGCTGCCAGCTGTGAGCTGTGGTACTACGGCTTCTCCTCTTGCTCCGACTGCGACTACAACTGCTGCTTCGGCTCCGGCCTCGGGATCTTGAGCGCTCCCTGGTATGACTCCGAGATCGGCTTCGGGACTGGCTGCAACTGAGGCTATAGTCATCATCAGATGATGAGTATTTGTGTCGTTTAGATCGGTGCTTGGAGCTGGCATAGTCTGAGTCATCTGAGTCATGTGAGCGCTTAGAGTGCCTTCTTGATCGGTCACTATAGTCACTGTAGCTGTCATCAGAGTAACTATGCTTTCTACTGTAGCAGCTTTGGTCTGAAGAACCATCTGAGCTACTTGAGTAAGAACGCCGGGAAGAGCGATGTGAGGAATGGCGCCGGCCAGACCGGGAGCGGCTTCGGGAATGCTCACTGCCAGTGTCTTCCTCCTCCTCCTCTTCTTCTTCCTCCTCCTCCTCTTCACTGTACTGGGATGGAGACTTCTGGTGGAGCCGACGTGATGAAGCATCATCACTATCCTCCTCTCCACTACTGGGTCGGCTCCGATGGCTAGACCGGCTATTCTGTTTGGTGCCAGCCCTTCGTTGACAGGATGAAATCGGAGGTTCACCTTTGTGTTTCCTTCCACCATGGTCTTGGGAACTGCTACCACCTCCACCTTCTTCCTTCTTGCCACTGCTCCCTTCTTCAGCAGGGAGGGATTTTCGCTGGGAGTCATCTTGGGCTCGTCGTCGTCTTCTGGGTGGTGCAGGACTGCCACTCCCAGGGGGTTCTGGTTTGGGTCCTCGTTCAGAATCTGCTGGGGCTGATGACTTATTCTTCTTTCGCTTCCGTTTCTTGCGCTTCTTAGACTTCTCCCCAGACTCTGCCTTACAGCTTTTCTCTTCTGTATCAGCCTTGTGTTTTCGTTTGTGTTTGCTGGACTTTTTGTGTTTCTTTTTCTTCTTGTGTCGGTGGGACTTCCCAGATCGTTCTTTCTTGCTAGGAAGGCTTCGCCCTGTGTCTTCAGTCTCTGACCCATGACTACCTCCAGCCTCTTGCTTGTTACAGGCAGACACTGAAGGGGGTGCATCCATTCTGCCTTCTGAGGAATGTAGTACATTCTCTTCCTCTTCGTGGCTCTTATTAGGCTCACTATGATCAAGGAGATAATCCTTTGAGGAACTTCCTTTATCTTTTGGTTTTTCTGTCCCTTTAGCTCTGGCATCCTTGTTCCTTGAAAGTTTAAAGTCAAAGTATAAAGGGTTACAACTGTACGAAATGGAGGGCTCCGCCTTGGTGAAAACTAAGAGTTCTGATGGCCACTGGAGGGCAGTGCTCTCATCTTTGCTCAAAACTGGGAAGAAAGGGCCAGTAGGATGTTTGGGACCTTCCTGGTTTGCTTTTCCTGCTGGGGTGGGCTGAGAGGTTTCTTTAGAAAGATGAGACTCACACATTTGGATTTCTGAAGTCTTCTGACACTGACTTTCTAAACTGGGCTCAGTTACATCCCTTCCCGAGGCCTTCTTTATCTCAGTTTTGCTTCCAGGTTCTGAGGGCTCAGACACAGTGTTTTCCTTCTGCTGCTCAGAAACTTCACTAACTGTCTTTTCTGCTCCTTGGCTTGCTTCCGCCTTAGCACAGCCTTTAGGCTTAGGAGAACTGCTTTTTTTGCTCTCTGGGGCATTCTTAGTATGTGCACAATTATCACCTTCCATTTGTTCACTGGCTCTCATAAAAAGTAAAAAGGGGAAATTAGGTTTTACTTTACAATGTGCTGGGGGGATGTAGTGGTAATACTCTGGCTCTGTAACTCCAGTTGCTTCTTCTCGCTTCATCCTTTTTAACTTAGATAATGTTGAGGCAAGGGATCCTCCATCCTGAGGCTCTTCATCTTCTTTTTTACCATCAAGATTACCACTACCATCGCCATCTCCCACCTTCTGCAGTCCTTGTTCAGAACTTTTGTCATCAGGTTTGGTTCCATCTTCAGAGGTCCCCTCCTCTGCATGATCTTTGAAAACTGATGCTATTGACTCAAGTTTGACAGGAGCCTTCTTGGCAAAGGAAAATGATACTCCCAATTTTTGCAGTGGGGTCCCCAGATTATTCTTAATGCCAAAGCTGATGCCTTGGGAGGCTAACCCAGAAGCCTGTGCCGGTCCAGTAGTGTTAGTGATTTGTACTGCAGTGAAGGGGCCTCCTTTATCTGTTGAGAATTCAGATCCAAGGCCACAAGTGGTAGTGGCACCTGTGCCACTGTTTGTAGTTGATTCATCCTTATCCTCATCTCCACCTTCTTCATCTACTGCCACTGTGGTTGGTCTGAACATGGGACCACTTCCAGGTGCACTACATAATGGTTTAGAAAAGTAAAACAAACAAAAAACAGGTTTAGGGGTATATTTCACCTATCTTATTAAATACTCATTATTTAGCAGTGGAATGCTCCCTTCCATCCCCCAGTGCTTAAAACTGAATCCTGGGCCTTGGCCATGCTAGACAATTGCTTTGACATTAGCTACACTCTCAAGTAAAGAACCCAACTTTATGTCCTATCATTCCTCATGGGTAGGTGTCAGGCATTGAATGGTGGCCCTTCCCAAGCCCTATACTAACAAACAAAACTTGCTCAGTGGAAGTTAGGCAATGTTTCATTTAATTAACCTACCAAGCTAAAATGTTGTTACTTGCTTGCTTTTTCTTTTTTCTTTCCCTCCCTTCGTTGCTTCCTTCCCCTGCCTCCCTCCCCCCTTCCTGTCTGTCTGTCGGTCTGTCTGTCCTAGGGCTTGAACTCAGGGCCTGGGAACTGTCCCTGAGCTTTTTTGCTCAAGGTTAGTGCTCTACCACTTGAGCCACAACCCCACTTCCAGTTTTTGAATTGTGAATTGAAGATAAAAGAGTCTCAGAGACTTTTCTGCCTGGGTTGGCCTTTAACCACAATCCTCAGATCTCAGCCTCCTGAGTAGTTAGGATTACAGGCATAAGCCACCACCCTGTTATTGCTCTTTAAGCTGCTTTTTAAGTTGCCTAAATGACTTTAGCAAGGCTTAGCTCACAAATCAAACATTTTCTATTGCTACCATCTCATATAGTCTACTTCCACTTGTTAAGTTTCATTTTATACTGTATCATTCTTCCATTGGTATGCTATCAGATATATGTCTATATAGTCACATCTATATAATCTTCGCAGACTATTTCATTCAGCTAAATTAAAACATCTAATTTTCCTCTATGTATTACATTTTAATTTCTTTAAAAAGTATACATTCTAAATTAAACATAAGCCAGAAACCTCTATTAAGCTACTCTATGGCAGTTTGTAACTAATAAAACTGTTTTAGAAACCAGACTGTTGCCTATCTTTTGGGCACTATGTCAAAACATTTGCTTTGTTTTTGTGATAGAGTCCTTTTCTCTGAGCCATACGAGATGTTTCTGACCTCCATCAACATCAACTACACCATTAAAAAAAAAAAAAAAAGGGGCTGGGAAGGTGGCTCAGTGGTAGAGTGCTTGCCTTGCATGCATGAGGCCCTGGGTTCAATTCCTCAGCACCACATAAGCAAAAA